TAGGCAGTGTATCGCAAAGCAGCTCACAAGGTTTTGGTACAGAGCCAATTAATCCTGCCTCCATAATACACATGGTCACTCTCGTTCACTTCAAGTCTCTTCCTTACTCTCTCTCTCTCTCTCTCTCTCTCTCTCTGTCTTTTCCCTTGTATCACTGAACCCAGCCTTTGAGTGCTGCTGAAATAGAGAGGGACCACTGGACTGGAAATTGCTCTCCCTACATGTCCCCTCTCCCTCTCTCTCTCTCCCCCTCTCTGTGTGTAGGGTGGTTGTAGATAATTGTCTCTCTGTGCCATACACAGCTGTAGCCGAGGGGTGTTGGACAGCACAGAGAGTTCAGTGTCCCAGTGGGGGACCCGTCAGTGTGTTGGACTCAATTAATCCTCTTTCAGCTGGTTAACACTAAAAATATAACTCCTCTTCCTCGCTACTCTGTATTCAAGACTTTTGCAGAAACAACAAACGGCCAGGTGTGATCACACAATGTCTGTTTGTGTTTTGCAGTCTTTACGGGCGACACTTGCAGGCCAACCCAGAGGCGCCCAAAAAGAATGCCGACAAATCCAAGAAGATCAGCCGCAAGCCGCTGGCGGCCAAGAACAAGTAAAGCAGAGGGCAACGAAGAGCTGATCCGACCATCCGAGATGAACCTCACTGCATGTGCCTTTCCATTTGATATTTATTTAGAAAATATATTTTATATTGCTTCAGTATTACGTTAATCATGTAACCTGCAAATGGCTCCACTCTTGATACGCCCCAACAATTTTTTCCAAGTGTCCTTCTTGTCCAATGCCACTTTTTGCCTTCAAAGTGTCGCTTCTGTAAAGTCAGACCTGCATTGGGTGATAATCAGCTTTTCTGAACGTGTTTGTTGTGTCTCTTTAGAGAAACAGTGGGAGTTTTGTCCTATTCGACCATCCAGACGAGGAGAGCGGTGAATTTTGGGAGGTGGTGACGAGCGTTTTGTAACCGTAGAGGGATTTAGCAGGAGTTTTGGGGTCTTAGTGGAGTCTGAGCAGGATAGTGTCAGGTCTCCGGGGGGAAACCGCTGACTGCTTCCTCTGTCTCTTAATGACAGATATGAATGGCTGCAAACGGGAGTTTCAGATGGTACACAGCAGATACCAGACAGAAACACCCCGGTGGCCATTTGAGAGGGTCAACAAGATATTGCAACAAATGGTGTTCTCTGAAGCGGTTGGCCATTGTTTCTTACTGTGTATTCTAGTTAACATGATGGTGCAACTTTTTACAGAACAATATACAGTAGTATTTGTAAAGAACCAGTTTCTTGAACTGGTAAATCATTCAATAATTGTCATTTCTGCCATTATAGCATTCACTACAGCTTTAGGTTGCGTACACTAACATCTTCTAAATCTTCAAAGCTTGGCTGAATTCGAAGTTTTCTTTCTTATGGATGTGTTATTCCTTATTTTTAAAAGTCACAAGCTGTTTCGTTGCAATTACATTTAAATTTGTAATATTTTAATGTTTTATGATGTGCACACAATGCAGTTGTGCTATGTACTTCATTTTTGACTGAAATAAAGTCAGCATTTTGTTGGACGATTCAGGTTTTTCTTTCAGCAGTTGATGATAAGTTGAAAAGACCTTGGAATGGCAAGGCAAAAATCTTCTAAAATGTGTACTTCAGTTTAAAAGTTTAGATTGGTAATTATTGTTTGAAAGAAATCTCTTATGCTCACCAAGGCTGCATTTATTTTATTTAAATTACAGTAAAAATAGTAATATTTTGAAATAATAATACAATTAAAAATAACTGTTTTCTATTGGATTATAAAATGTAATTTATTCCTGTGATGCAAAGCTGAATTTTCAGCATCCATTGCTCCAGTCATCACATGACCATTCAGAAATCATTCTTCTTATAATCAAAGTTGAAAACCGTTTTTCTGCACAATACTTTTGTGTAAACCATTTTTTTCAGGACTCTCAAAAGAACAGTATGTATTTGAATCCTTTTTTTTTTTTCTAACAGTGTTGAAGTTCTTACTGTGACACTGGAGACTAAAAATTAGAAGCATGTATTTTCTATTTTTGGAAATTTCCAACAATCTGAAGTCTTAAGTGCTCGGAAGATAAGTTAAAGTTTGAAGCTCCTTGCTAGAAAGTTCTGAAGCGAATGCTAGATTTGCAGGGTGTGATCTGAAACAGCTACAGAGGATCGTCACATCTAAAAACGATCTTCCCATCGGAGGCCCTGTCATGGTCCAGACCACCTCCATGACAGGAGATCAGGGGTAAAGGAGCTGACCTTTCAATGCTGTGAGTCAGATGATGATGGGTGTGCGCTTGTGTTTGTAGAAGGCATATGATAGCCGCATGGGATTTCCTGTCTCTCTTTGCAAATATTCTGCTCACTTTATTATTACCCCGTCCAGACGCCGCTGTCCTTCTCATTCACACTCCCAGCAGGCACATCTGTCCCGCGCACGTTCCCCCCAATACACTTTCCTCTTGCGCTCAGCAGGAACATCTGTCCATGGCAAAGTCCACACCGCGTACCGAACCTCTTCCACTCTTCAGCTGTCTCGCGACCCCTTGAATTCTTCATCCACTTTCGAAAGTTTTCTTTGGATTCCAAACAATGAGAGGTGTGGTTTGTAAAAGTTTTCCACAAACTGTTGGACATTCAGTACGGCCCAATGTCTTCAGCCGGAGAAGCGATTATTTAGATCCCGACCCGAGCTTGTCCCATCCTTCTGCCAGCGTCGATAGAAAATGGGACGTTGAAGTTTAAAAATGAGTCCGAATGGCAATGGATCACCATGTGCCGACAATTACTCACTGACCTTTCAGAGGAATCCTTGAATGTCTTTTTCTTTTCCTTGAGTTACAGACTTGTAGCGATTTTGCTTGGCTTGATTACTTTTTTTGTTTGTTTAGTTTGTTTTATCACCCTGTTTAAAATGATTTCTCGTGGCGTACTCTCTATGCAGCTCATACGCTGAAGGGCATTACGGCCCTCCCTAACCGACGTCATTGATTTTTGCCGCTTGATTTATGGGGTGAGGGAAACTCCTCTGGAGAGCATGTCCCATGCCGAGCAATGAAATGGCGTCGTCGAAGACATTGTTGAACCTAGACTTTCATCAAGCGCTCAGGGTAAGCAGTAGTGGCCCATTGTGTTGTCTGAAGATAATTGGATGTGTTCAAGACCTCGCTGTGTCAAAACTTGGAACAATACAGCAGATTCGGTGCCAATGGTGCAACCAGTCCATCTAAACAATAATCGTGCGAAACGGAGGTTGCTAACTAACTAACTTGTTGAAATCTTGAGAGGTGCACCTCAACTGTTTAGTGGCACACAGTCGTGCAACTGCAAGGTGATCGATTCCCAGATTGGAGTTAAATGAATGATTTGTTCTTGCATCCTGTAGTGGCAGTGCATCACTGGCAGGTCTATACTATTGGCATACGTGTCGTTTAGTGGTTGCGCCGTTAACTTCAAAGCTCATTCTCAGGGATACGTGAATAAACATTTCCAATAGCTTAAATTTTCACTGTGCAGTGACCTAGAACATCAAGCTGACTAAAAAGGGGACTGTACAAATCCAAAAGTTTGGGTTGCACATCTAAAAGTTAAAAAACTAAACACATTTCAATGATATAAAAATATTCAAAAGTCCAAATGCTTTAAAAGCTGTCCAAACTAAAATTCACTCAAAATATTTGACAGAGCATACAATGTGTGTGTGTGTGTGTGTGTGTGTGTGTTATATATACATACATACAAATATGTACATAAGTACAAGTAAATAATATATGTAAATTCTATTACCCAAAACAGTATTTATGTATTTAACAGTAATGTTTATTTAAATATACTGTATAAACATGCAACAATTAAATATTGTTTAAAATCTGAAAAGTAGTTTGTAATTTTTTTTATATTTATATAAGTATAATAATTAATAATATAATTCACAATTTATTATTGTATATGATAGATAGATAGATAGATAGATAGATAGATAGATAGATATTGTTGACAGTATCTATGGTTACCATTGTAAACGATGCACATATGTTTTATAACTAATAATATGTGTAGCATCATTTACCAAAGATTTATGATCCTCTGCATTCATCAAAATATTACAGACAAGACTTATATCCACCATTATAAGCCATATGCTTGTCTGTGATTCAACAGAACTCTTTTGGTTCCAGAATTATGCTATTAATGTAAGATGTGAGGATTTATTTGGCCATTTTGTGGAAATCAAATTTATGTGACTGTTTTGTTGAAAAATGTCAGAAGCTTTTGCCCGCTCAGGTATGTGGAAGCATTAATATAGTCTAATGCTGAGAAGTGCAGTGCAGATTCTCTGATCTGTGCTCTGAGTGGGTGGCTGGAATATTGTTGATAATAAGAAATAGTTTCAAATAAGTATTTTGAAATAGATTTAATGGATTTTTTTACTTCAGAAAGTGGGCCTATTTCATATTTTAAAAAATATATATACTGATCTCAAATCAATGTTAATGAACACCAGGTTCCCCACAGAGTGCGACAACATGCCCCGTTATATTTCAGGTGTGTTGATCAGTCTAGATTTGCGTTTAAATGTTTTATTTTTCTTTCGTCTGTGTCTGTCCTGTGTAGATGTTTGATGTGTGATTTTGCGTTTTGGTGTGTTATAAGAGCGCTGGATCTCTCCCTCCTTCTTTCTCTCGAGTCCTGCGCTGCGCTCACACTCACACAGCGACTCCGTTCTCCAGATCTTCATGACATCCAACTTTATCCAGCTCATCCCGTCTTTTGTGCACAGAGGAAAGACTTTAAAAGCGAGGGAAGGATATCAGGTTGTGTTCGAGGATCTCAAGCGGCTTTTCTCGTCCATCAGTGGAGTTTTTCCTTTGCGCGTCCACATGTGGAGAGACGCTGATGGTGATGCGCTTTCGGAGAGATGCTGATGCTGAAGCAGAGCTGCGAGTGAGCCAACATCAGCAGAAAAGAAGTTAAGTGAGAGAAGAATACAAGAGAGAGAAAAAAGAGAAGCTGCTGGGGCCCAAGCCAGAAGTTAATTAACAAAACCAATCGGACTTTTTTTTTTCTCATCTGTAGAGGTGCCTCACCAACCTTCAAAATTTCGCCCAAAAGCAGACAGGAGGATCGGCCGGTGCTGACGCGACTCGTCGGCAGGAAGCGGCTGATCGCGGCTGGGGCGCTTGGTGTGGTCATGGTCCTGGTGCTGGTGATCCTGATCCCGGTTTTGGTGAGCTCTGCCGGGACATCCGCCGCGCACTACGAGATGCTCGGCACCTGCAGGATGGTTTGCGATTCTTACGGTACTAAATCCCCGACCAGCACGGTCTCCGCAGACCCTGTCCGGGACAGCAACCTTATGCAGTCTTTACCAACTTTTATACAAGGTCCGAAAGGTGAACCGGGACGCCCGGGGAAAGTGGGGCCGAGGGGCCCTCCCGGTGAACCCGGACCCCCTGGACCTCCCGGAGAGAAGGGGGAACCGGGACGACCTGGATTACCCGGGCAGCCGGGACCAAACATGGCAACGGGTGCCATCAGCGCGGCCACCTACAGCACTGTGCCCAAAATCGCCTTTTACGCAGGGCTCAAAAAGCAGCACGAGGGCTACGAGCTGT